CCAACAATATTGACCTGCTCACCACTGTGTGACTTCATAGCTCAGTGGTCAGAGCACTGCACCGGCACCGCAGAGGTCATGGGTTCGAATCCTGTTGAGTCACCTGATTTTTCAGGTCCTGAGACGATTGCTTAAATTGTCCAGCTAAGTGCGAAGATCATATCTCATTTAATTTCAAAACACCGCACTGCATAAAACATTCACATGACATTCATTTCACGAGAAAACATGAGCCCAACAATATTGACCTGCTCACCACTGTGTGACTTCATAGCTCAGTGGTCAGAGCACTGCACCAGCACCGTAGAGGTCATGGGTTCGAATCCCGTTGAGTCACCTGATTCTTTCAGGTCCTGAGACGATTGCTTAAATTGTCCAGCTAAGTGCTAAGATCATATCTCATTTAATTTCAAAACACCGCACTGCATAAAACATTCACATGGCATTCATTTCACGAGAAAACATGAGCCCAACAATATTGACCTGCTCATCACTGTGTGACTTCATAGCTCAGTGGTCAGAGCACTGCACCGGCACCACAGAGGTCATGGGTTCGAATCCCGTTGAGTCACCTTATTTTTTCAGGCCCTAAGACGATTGTTTAAATTGTCCAGCTAAGTGCGCAGATCATATCTCATTTATTTTCAAAACACTGCACTGCATAAAACATTCACATGGCATTCATTTCACGAGAAAACATGAGCCCAATAATATTGACCTGCTCATCACTGTGTGACTTCATAGCTCAGTGGTCAGAGCACTGCACCGGCACCGCAGAGGTCATGGGTTCGAATCCCGTTGAGTCACCTGATTTTTTCAGGTCCTGAGACGATTGTTTAAATTGTCCAGCTAAGTGCGCAGATCATATCTCATTTAATTTCAAAACACTGCACTGCATAAAACATTCACATGACATTCATTTCACGAGAAAACATCAGCCCAACAATATTGACCTGCTCACCACTGTGTGACTTCATAGCTCAGTGGTCAGAGCACTGCACCGGCACCGCAGAGGTCATGGGTTCGAATCCCGTTGAGTCACCTGATTTTTTCAGGTCCTGAGACGATTGCTTAAATTGTCCAGCTAAGTGCGAAGATCATATCTCATTTAATTTCAAAACACCGCACTGCATAAAACATTCACATGACATTCATTTCACGAGAAAACATGAGCCCAACAATATTGACCTGCTCACCACTGTGTGACTTCATAGCTCAGTGGTCAGAGCACTGCACCGGCACCGCAGAGGTCATGGGTTCGAATCCCGTTGAGTCACCTGATTTTTTCAGGTCCTGAGACGATTGCTTAAATTGTCCAGCTAAGTGCAAAGATCATATCTCATTTAATTTCAAAACACCGCACTGCATAAAACATTCACAAAAAATATACTAACAAAGATATTCGAGTTCGAGATCATTGTCATATCACTGGAAAATATAGAGGGTCAGCACATCAATATTGTAATTTAAAACTTAGAATAGACTCTGATAAATTAAAGATCCCAGTAATATTTCACAATCTACGTAATTACGACTCTCACTTTATTATGCAAGAAATCAGAGCTATTATTAATAAGCATACATACAAAAACAAAAAAGGAGAAGATATTCAGATGAATATAAATGCTATACCTAATAACATGGAAAAGTATATGGCTTTTATGTTAGGTAACTATCTTACTTTTATTGATAGTTTTCAATTTATGAGCTCTAATCTGGAAAAATTTGTTTGTAATTTACCTAAAGATTCATTTAAATATACCTATAAGCAGTTTCAAGGTGAAAAATTTAATTTAATGACTCAAAAAGGTATATACCCATATGATTATATGGATAGCTTTAAAAAGTTTGATGAGGGGTTACCTTCAAAAAAAGACTTTTATAGTATTCTTACTGATGAGAATATGTCAGATGAACAATACCATCATGCACAAAAGGTGTGGGATACATTCAATCTCAAAAACATGGGTTATTACCACGATTTGTATTTAAAATCAGACATTTTGTTATTAAGTGATGTATTTGAAAACTTTAGGAAAACATGCTTAAAATACTATAAACTCGATCCATGCCACTATTTCACATCACCAGGGTTGTCGTGGGATGCTATGTTGAAGATGACAGTTATTAAATTAGAACTAATGACTGATATTGACATGTTTCAATTCATTGAAAAGGGTATGAGAGGAGGTGTTTCTTATATTTCTAATCGATATGGTAAGGCTAATAATAAGTATATGAAAACATTTGATAAGAATAAACCCTCAAAATATATAATGTATCTTGACGCAAACAATTTATATGGATGGACTATGAGCCAGAGCCTTCCAACTGGTGGTTTCAAATGGTTAACTGAGAAACAGATTAACAACATAAACCTTGCTGAATATCAAGCGGATAGTAAAAAAGGTTTAATTTTAGAAGTTGATTAAGAATACCCTGAAAAACTACATAATTTACATAATGATTAGCCTGTTGCACCAGAAAAGTTAAGGTAACTAGCGACATGCTGTCAAAATATTGTAAGACAATTGCTTCTAATTACAATATATCAACAGGTTTAGTTTTAAATTAATACCTACATTGCAAAATAAATACAAATACGTTTTACATTATAGAAATCTTCAACTATACTTAGATCTTGGGTTAAAATTAAAAAAAGTACATAGAGTACTTGAATTTAATCAATCTCCATGGTTGAAAAAATATATAGACTTTAATACTAAAAAACGAACTATAGCAAAGAATAACTTTGAAAAAGACTTTTTTAAACTCATGAATAATTCGGTATTCGGTAAGACAATGGAAAACATACGAAAAAGAGTAGATGTTAGACTAGTAACTAATAAAAATAAATTATTAAAATTAACTTCAAAACCTACTTATGTAAGTTCAAAGATCTTTAATGAAAATTTAGTAGCTGTGCATAAGATCAAAGAAACACTAACCCTTAACAGGCCGGCATATGTGGGTATGTGTATCTTACATTTATCTAAAGTATTAATGTACGATTTTCATTACAATTATATCAAGAATAAATATGGTGATAAAGCTAAACTTCTTTTCACAGACACAGATAGCCTAACATATGAAATCGAAACTGAAGATGTCTATCAAGATTTTTGGGTTGATAAAGATAAATTTGATTTTAGTGATTACACAGAAAATTCACAATATCATGATAAGACTAACAAAAAGGTTATTGGTAAAATGAAAGACGAAGCCGCTGGAAAAATAATAACTGAGTTTGTAGGTCTTCGGTCTAAAATGTATAGTTATATAACATATGATAATAAAGGAGATAAAAAAGCTAAAGGAATTAAGAAAAATATTATTAAGAACGAAATACAACATGAAGATTACAAAAAAACACTATTTGAAAAGAAACAAATACATCATACAATGAAAACTATTAGAAGTGTAAACCATCAACTTAGTAGTTATGAAATTAATAAAGTATCACTTAGCTGTTTTGATGATAAACGGTACATATTAGCTAATGGATGTACAAGTTATGGTTATGGTCATTATCTTATCAACTCAAATAACTAAATGTTAACAAACAGTTATAATGTGTAGTAAGCATGTAGCGTAGGCCTCTGTTAGAGTAAAATCATACATACCTGCTCCTCATGTTTGACTACATATCACATAACTGTTTGTAATAAGTAATTAATACAAAAGCGATATACAAAAAAATTCAAAATCCTGAAACAATTAGTAAAAAACACTTTTAACAAAAATTATATAAAACATTGTATTATTATACATGCGCTGATGAAATGTTCCTACTCCATTAAGCAACCATTGTTAAACATGTACATGTGACACGCGCTTGACAGACAAATTAAAAAGCATATAGATTCCATATTTTGTAAAGAGCATCTATGACATTGTTGCGCTCAAAATTTCAGGCTTAGTTGCCTGAAATTCTTCGCCCCGAGACAACGATTTAAAAAGATGCTTTATTAACAATTAATTATTAAAGAATATTTCTACCACGCGCCGAGTTTTAAGACCATTGTTAAAAGCCACTAGTTTACCAAATATACCACGTAAATTATAAAGCGCGCCGCTATTGATATTTTAATAACACTTTATAATTAACACTTGATTATTAAAGAATATTTCTAACACGCGCCGAGTTTTAAGACCATTGTTAAAAGCCACTAGTTGATCCAATATACCAAGATACTATAAAGCGAGCTGCTACTGATATTTTAATAACACTTGATTATTAACACTTGATTATTAAAGAGCATATATTAAGCCTCTGTTATTCTCGAATATTCTTCGAATATTCATCGAATGCCACTTTAGACCCCGAATTTTTCACTTCGTGAAAAATTTTACCCACCGGGGTCTAAGGATTCTCGGGAATTCCATCCCCCTGCTCGAGCATCTGAGCAAGATCATTTCATGATCTTGCATTATGCTCTGCGCTGCCGAATTCCCTCCGAACCAATGCTTTATTAACAATTAATTCTTAAAGACGGTTTTTAAAATTTAAAAGCACCTATATATTTCAAAAACATATAGATTCCATATTTTGTAAAGAGCATATTTTATGTCTGTCGTCCTTCGGACACCACGGGGGGCGACTCCAATTTTTCACTTCGTGAAAAATTTCCCACCATCGTCGCCTGAATTCTCGGAAATTCCTCCCCTGCTTGAGCACAAAGTGCTCTGCACTGCCGAATTTCCTCCGAAACGATGCTTTCTTAACATTTATTTCTAAAGAAAGTTTTTAAAACATATAGATTCCATATTTTTAAACAACAGATTGTAACCTCGAGATTTTTACCCCCTTTGAAAACAATTGTTTGTTAAAGATAGTTTTTACCCACGGTATAAAGGTAGTATAATACATGGGGGATATGAGAGCACTTTTCTTGCTCTCGTACCCCCATGTATTATAGTACTGAAAAAGGCTCTGAATGTGGCGTGATTGGGGTAGAATTTCGTTGTAACGAATGCGCACACGAAAAATATTTTTGCAAAGGTTGTGCTGACAGTACTCACGAAACAAGCAACTACTTCCATGTGCTTGAACGGTTTAAGGTATGGATGGATAGAATAAAGATAAGTTCAGTTATGATGACGTTTTGTGGTGTATAAGTTTGGTGATCAAACGTTGATTTCAATTCATGTCATCATGGTCATTGTTTCATACATTTGTATGAACTGCTATTGAAATATAGCTTGCATTATGTTTTTAGGATGGGTATACATTACCTTACTTTCCCAATCATGGTATTCTTGCAGCAAGGCATCAGAAATCTTGCCATAGTGCTCAAGCAAGAAATGTCATTTGCATTGACCAATATGGTTTGTTTAAATTAAATGAAGATATGATCTTCGCACTTTGCTGGACAATTTAAGCAATTGTCTCAGGAACCTGAAAAATTCAGGTGACTCAACGGGATTCGAACCCATGACCTCTGCGGTGCCGGTGCAGTGCTCTGACCAACTGAGCTATGAAGTCACACAGTGGTGAGCAGGTCAATATTGTTGGGCTGATGTTTTCTCGTGAAAGGAATGTCGTATGAATGTTTTTTTATGCAGTGCGGTGTTTGAAATTAAATGAAGATATGATCTTCGCACTTTGCTGGACAATTTAAGCGATTGTCTCAGGAGCCTGAAAAATTCAGGTGACTCAACCGGATTCGAACCCATGACCTCTGCGGTGCCGGTGCAGTGCTCTGACCAACTGAGCTATGAAGTCACACGGTGGTGAGCAGGTCAATATTGTTGGGCTGATGTTTTCTCGTGAAAGGAATGTCGTATGAATATTTTTTTATGCAGTGCGGTGTTTGAAATTAAATGACAAAAAAAAACATTCATACGACATTCCTTTCACGAGAAAACATCAGCCCAACAATATTGACCTGCTAACCACTGTGTGACTTCATAGCTCAGTTGGTCAGAGCACTGCACCGGCACCGCAGAGGTCATGGGTTCGAATCCCGTTGAGTCACCTGAATTTTTCAGGTTCCTGTGACAATTGCTTAAATTGTCCAGCAAAGTGCGAAGATCATATCTTCATTTAATTTCAAACACCGCACTGCATAAAAAAACATTCATGGTTTGTTTACTAGCTTAGATATAGTCACTTAATGATTGATAATTTATCAACCTTAGCATTTTGTTGATACATAAGGTCTTTGCATGCTCATTTTTTTAAATCAATATTTCTTCTTTAAATACTACCTTCATGGTAAATTCTAAATTTTATTGCAAAGTTCATGTTTAATTACCACCTATCCTCTTTCTTTGTGATCGTTGTATGTTTCATTATGATGCTGATGATGATGATAACCAGAACTTGCAGTGTATTCTTTCAAATAGGCCGGCAACATCAGAAACAAATTCTGTTTTTTGAGTGTAAAAAAGATTGAATAACGTTAATAAGATTGAAACTTTGGCCTGGCAGTGCTACTCGTCCCTCTTTAGCTTTTCATTTTTAGATGATGGAGTTGGCTGAAACCTTACTTCTTGAATGTCATGTTTCACTTCGAAAATTCTGTGATGCTCTAAAAATATGGACAAAGTGCTCTTCTTTACCATTGTGGGTAAGTATTCCTTTCAAATGTGTAAAAAGAAATACATGTGTACCTTCATTCTGTGTTGCCAACAAGGGGGTACTACCCCCCTCCCAATATTTCTCCCACATTGGTCTTTATTTATAGAACTTGAAAAGGTGTGTGATATCAAACAGTGCATTTTATGTTTAAGGGACATTTTGGGAGTGTTTCCCCATCCCTCCCCCCCCCCAAAACAAAATCCTGTTTCCACAGCTGCCCATGATATAGATACCCCGAAGCAGTGCAACAGCTTGTTAAAAGTTTGTAACAATTACTAGTTACCTGCCTGAAACATAGAAAAACTTGGTTTTCTTGAACTGTAACCTTAATCTTTCATAGAAAGGCACATTACAAAAGATTAAATATTTCACCCTGCTCCTGCTCTTGTTGTGCATGCAATTATTTCATATTGTTGTAATTGTTTTATTTCATTATAGATTAAGAACATGTATTCAACACTGAACAGCAACTCATTTGATGAGTTTCGGTTTGTAATATAAATTAGTTTCATAAACTATAATTATTGTGTAAACTTAGATGCAAAACGTACCGTAGAAAGACTGAGGGATGTGATCTTGAAGTCTCATGATTGCTCTGGTAATAGTGTATGTTTGAATTTTTAGTGCTTTCTTTATTTTGCAGGTATCATCGGCATTTGTTGAGAAATGGTTACCCGCTTGTAAACCAACATGTCCCAGGGAGATATTTGTGCCCTCTTTGTCCCAAAGTACGAAATTTATAATTGTGCATCTCTTGCAATTCGTTCAAAGCTAGCTTTCTTATTCTAAAAATTTAATAGACATTTGTTCTGCGGAGTTGTACACATTTAGCCATTAAACACAATATTTAAAAACAGTTGTAGGGAAGTTGTTAATGTCTTCATTCTAAAAGCATCATTGTTATTCATTTCATCCATTGATAGCCTGATGAAGCTGGTACTCTGATTGAATCAATGGATGCTTATTTTGGTCTTGTCAGAAAAAAGACTTCAGGGAAGGCTCAGTTCTTGTCAAGGCATAATTCCATTTTGTTCCACAATCAAGAAGAAGTTGATTCATTTGTTGATAACTACACTTCAAGTGCTGAACAAGCTAAAACTGTAAGTATTTAGAAATGTGGTTGAATTTCAGAAATTGTCTTCACTCGAGTTTGCTATTTTATGTACTTATGAATATTACGAAGCCTTTTATTGTTAAGGATTGTCATGAGTTTAAGGCAGGTGAAGTAAATGACATGATTCGATCAAAAGGTAGAAACAAATTATTCGATGAGAAAGGTGTTTTTGGTTGTGTCTGCCGGCATGATTACCCAAAAGGATTTATGAATATCAAACATGGAGAAAGGTAATTTTTGAAGTCATTAACATATTTTCTTTAATGTTTAAGGCAATCGTCATCCACTTACCATGACCGTACCACAATGACCTACAGCTTATAGTCTGGCTATCTAAGCATCATTTATTACAAACCTGCTTTCATGTGAACATACTAGCCCCACCCCATCCTCCCCACCCCATCTTTGTTTCAAATATTGCAATGATTTATAGCATGCAAGATTGTCTAACCCCATTAGAGTTGTCTGTTAATAAAAAGTAGAAAGTCTGGTAACAGTCATGACATACTTTCATCATGCAATGAAGTGATCTTTTGTGTACCATTTAAAATCTTTGCAAGTGGCAGGCTCTTTCTGTTGTATAGCTTTAGTCATTCCCCAAAATGATACAAACGTGTTATGTTAATTCGATTGTAGCAGTTAGCCCTGGGCTACTAGCCCATTGCACTTCGCCTTTTGAAACTATATTTCAAATTTCAATTGAACACGCTAATGACCTTCGTGAAACTTCTGTTGAATGTTGCTGTGTCTGCAATATTAAGAGGTTTTACCAAAATCATGTAATGTCCTAGCTGCAGTATATGCTTCTTTTTTTAGGATTGGTTATTCAGTTTTTAGCGTCAAACACCAGCTCTCTAACTCCAACGAAAACACAACAATAAAAATCATGTATGACATTGCATGTACTTTGAAGGCACACCTAATGGTTGGTTTTTTAAAGCATTAATAGTTTATTTTGTTTGCTTATAATGACTTTGTGCAGTAGAGTTCATTAAACCTTAGTAAAACCAAGTAAAATTGTATTGACATCTTCTGTTCTTTTCCAGAAAAATGGAAAGCATGATTTTGTGAAGAGAGCCGATTATTCTATTCCTGTCTTCCACTGCTATGGTCATAAGTCCTTGTGTCAGGTTTGTACATTTTATTAATTTTATTTCTCTGATGATAACAATACATCTTATGATAGATTTAAAAGAGACTGTTCTGTACGTACTCAAAATGTTTTTGCTATCATTGCATCCACGTGAACAATATTTATTGGGTACGAAAAATAATGTTCGGTCTTAATAGTAATAGTTATAAGCAGCTAATAGCAACTTATTTGTTGTCGTGTAGATACAATTTAACCCAAGAAGGAAAAAAGGATATGGATTAACTGATGGGGAAGGAGTGGAAAGACTATGGTCATTTCTTCGGGGATTTTCCGGCATGACCGTCTTGATATTCTGACAGATGCTTTACTGCACTATTCTTCTCGTCGACTTGAACAGTTTGGTTGGTGTGTTTACTGAAAGTACACGTGTTAAGCTCAGGGAAATAACTTCTTTTAATAGTCAAGTTGATTTTGAGAACATTTGCAATACGTGTATTTGATAGAGAAAAATTTTATCTTGATGGGGTTTTTTGGCCAACAAGTAGGTGATTGAAAGCTGGAATTGACATATATAGGACAACACGATCGCTTCAAAAAGTATCAACACCGTACAATATTATAGACTTTTAGAAGAAAATAGCGTCCCAAAACTTGTACTGTGTAAACGTTTTTTGTTTACTTGAAACCGGTATAGAAAATGCTATATCTTCAATGCACGTGTGTTTTAATCTTTTGCAAGGGCTCTTAAAATTGATTTAACTATTTAAAGAAATCCTGTCCCAGACCCTGATATAATCACTTTAGTAATGTACACACAACTGTTTGATCAGTCAACGTTTTGTAAACTAGTAACCCCTCCCCCCTCCCCTTCTTTTTTTTGTATATTATTTATTTAGTGCTGGAAGTTGTTGATTTTTTTTAGGATCTTCATTAGCTGCTAAACTTAAAAGATGTCCTGAACTTATTACCAACACGCAATCACAAATACAAGACTTATTTTCCAAGCTAGATGTTCTGTATGACTCTGATTTATTAGACACATGGATGAAGGAAGAAGAACAACTAATTAACGAGAAGAATTGTATGTAATGTGCCTTTCCATCAACTTGTTGGCTCATAATTTTTGTTGGATGACTTGATTATTTCTTGTAGCAAAACGGGCACTTCCGTTAACATGGCAACAAAAATACGTGGAAAGTTTATTGCAACTTTACCAACTGAGGTACTGTAGGTACACAATTTTGATATATAAAGTTTATCAAGTGCATGAATAAATATTTTTACAAATGCGATTCTGTAGTTTTGCTCAATAGGTTGCTGAGATAAATGCGTAATGTCGTCACTGTTTATTTTGTAGTGTATGGCTTTGTGTATGTAATACTGAAGTAATTAATCATTACTATCAGATAACATTTTTTCGTTATAGAATGCAGATTGCTTGTATTCAGGAAGTTGATCATGGTCACTTTGCGGATATTGTAAAAAGACTAAAAGTAAGGCAAGCCTTTAACTATATGGATTGTGCATTTTTTTATCGCTGATAAAACCTCGTGAATAAGTGTTGAGAAGAATTTCAATCTCCTTAAACCAATAGTCGTTTCGTTATAATATTATCGTTTAAATTTGTTTTGATGTATTTTTTTAGAGTAACGAAACAGGTTGAAAACATTGAGAGAAGAAAGAAAGTGGCGAAGAGATGGAAACCTGGGGAGAGAGAATTTAATACGGCAGCTTTGTCGCTGGAGCTGAAACGGAATGAGTCTTGTTACATGATAATACATAATCATGTAAATTATAGTTATTATTGTTATATACTTAAATATATTATTAGTGCTCTTTGTAAAATGCCTTACTCATACATGCATGTGTAAACCACAATAACAGGAAAAGCTTACGTATAGGACGTGGTCAACCTACTGACCACAGACAACGTACAGGACATGGGTAATCAACTGACCACAGTTTTACGCAAAAGCGGTTAATCGTACGTCATTGTGCAATCACATATAAGCCGAGAATCGAAAGCTGTAGTGATGTTGGTGCTTAGTAGAAGTCCACATCGGAAGAAAGCCTCGTGTAAAAGAAAACGAACTATTTACGAAGATAACCAAAGAATCCAGATATATAACCTATCCATCAACGAAAGAGTCACTGAAAGTCTGAAAGCAGTTGTCTTAGATAAGTTTGAACATTTAAACATATATATTATAACGATTATATCAAATTATTAGTATATTAAATAAATATCTTAAGAATTGACAACAACTTCTCCACAAGGTTTTACTCCTTTTGTTACGAGCAATTGAGCCAAAAGCGGCCATTTTATTATTAGTCGGGACGTTCGTAACACTCTGTTATTGAGTCAGCAATTTCTTTAGCAGTTGAAAGGATGTTCCTTGTATCCTTAAAGATTAAATATGCAGGTATTCTTCCTTAATGTAACATTTAAATATACTGCTAAGCATTTCAAACGTCTTTCACTTTTGTGCGTGCGTACTTGCCCAGTCCTTTTAAGTGAGTGCCATTTAATACTTTTAATATTTCGAATTGGAATTATGAAAAAAACCCCATTGAATAGTAGTTTTTATAGAAACTGTATTGGTGGTATACTGCTTAAGTAAAATTATGAATGCTTTATGACTTTAACTTGTATTTATTGAACCGAGCGTTATCTTGCGTTTCAGATGGCCAAGCGATAGCCGTTAAACTTTCCAAACAAATAACGCAGAGAACAAATTCCATTAAAACTACAATAGCCAAGTATAATGCATCACTAAAGTCTTTGGAAGATTGGATTGAAGGACTACCTAGAAAAATTGAATTTGACGAAGCAAAAGATCCAAGGTCGCAACTTTATTGTGATTTTAACTTTCAAACAAATAAAGATACAGTACCGTTCACTGCTAAACGTTCTGCTATTGAGTTGCATAACTTTTTTGAAAGATGCAAAGAGGAACAAGAGATGTTAGAAATGGAAACAGAAAAACTAGTACACTATTACTTGGACAAGAAACAAGAACTGGAGTCCTATATCAATGTAAATGGGGAAGTTCAGAGCAAAATCTTGAGAGGAACTGTAGCAAATTTTAAGAAAGATTTAATTAACATAAATAATGCACTGTATTCACTGAAACATATGTTAAATGACTATTTAACAGAAGCTAGTAAGAGTAAATTACCATTCTTCAAGATAGAAGCAGAGCATGCATTATCTATTTTGCGTCCAACAAACATAATTGAGGATACATTAGAGATTGAAACCAGTTCAGTTGATAGCAAGACTGACTGCGAATCACTGCTTCAATTTTCAGATTTTCAATCGGACACCGAGTTAGAATAATTCCATATACACACGTGTATTTATATATATAATTATAAGTTATTAATAGTGAACGCTTTAGCTTTATGCAAAGCTCACCTTTATAGGTTTGAGCGCTCTGGGGACTCTACAAAACAATCCATACAATGTGTAACCGTACATCCTGTGTCCCAAGTGCAGCATTCACCATTTTACTAGGGTGATAGCCGGAGGTCACTTTGTTATACACTTTATATATATATATAGGAAGTTTATATTTCTCTTTTACAACATATTTTGATAATTGTTTTTATAATAGAATTAAGTGCAGTATCAGTTAAAAAATTCCTTTTTCAGTGATAGAATTAAATTTATATTTTATATAATTATAATATGGATTACAATATTTCATTCTATTACCCTCTAATACATCTCCATAGTATTTATACAAATTATTTTTACTTTCATTGAAATTCATTAGTTTCTTCAAATTTTAAGTCCAGAAGTATATCTAGTTCTTTGTTAGTAATTAGTTATTATCTGAATCATCATACTCCAATTCAAATATTATATATTTTGAAAATAGAATCAAAGGAGCTTTTTTATATTTCATTATATGTATTGATTGTAAATTAAAATTAGCCCTATCATCTAGTTTAGATAATCCACCATTTAAATTAAAAAAAGTTTTTTATGTAATAATAAAAAAGATGAAATATTATTTGGTTTGCTATCGGAATTTCTTATACTGTTTGGTAAACAATTTTGCACATTAGTTACTTCACCAAGTTCTGGGATTTTTGTACATTTCCACTTCTAAAATGAGTAAATTATATGGAAGTGCTGAATAAATATTTAATTTAATACTACTCCTTTTTTGAGGTTTTTTGGTTTTAAACTCTTTATTCAATATAAAATATTATTTTTATTAATTCCTGTTAAATTAAATGGATATAATATATCCATCTGTGGAATAAAAATTTCGAGATAAAGTATCACTATGTTGCAGTAATTTAATAGGTCGTAATTTAATTTCCATTTTTAATCAATTTGACATTCCAACGTTATATTTATAGAATCAAATGGTATAATTGCCTTGATGATGCAATACTTTTATAGTTAAATTTTAATAAATGAAGAAATTAATTGTTTTTTATAATTGGAGGATTGTACACAAATAAATTGTCTCCACTTTCATTTGCATAATGTAAAGGAACAATACATAACAATTCCCTTTTAATCACCAACAATTTCTCTATCAATTTTGTCACAATATATAAACATTTTATTGATTCCAACTGTCTCATCAGGAAGATATGGACAATGAAATAATTTTTTTACAAATTCACGTTTCTTAGAATCAAATCCAGAGTCAAATGTATATTTTATTACTTCTTTGTCTAACCCCAACATAAAACTTAATTTTTTTGAAAAATTTAATTTAATTTCAATTGTATCATTTCCTGAAGCATAATCAGTATATTGTATTTTGCTTAGTATAGGTTTTATCCATATATATTTTTTAACATCATATTTTTACCCTGATTAGAAAAAGATTCTTTCCCTTGAACGTAGTAACAAGTATATCCATTTGTTAAAATCATGTTTTTTTACTATTTCTATTCTTAAAAAAATTTTATAATCATTTAAATAATCATTCAAAAGCGATATAATTTTTTTATTGTTATGTATTCCCAATGGTATTTTAATTGTTGGTAAATTAAACTTTAAAATTGGATATAAACTTATATCAATATTTTTAGTAGTAACATCCGTTTGAATAAAATATTTCGAAAATTTTAATTCTAAATCACACCAGAATTCATCTTCATTAATGTTTTTGCTGTTTTTGGATAAAAAACGTTTAACACTGTTATGTATTTTTTATTATTTAATGCATCAATTTGACCAGGTAATGTTGTAGCAAAATGATTAATATAGTTTTTTTTTAACAATTTTTATTATTAACTATACTAATTAATGTAATATTTTTCATTTTGAAACCTTTTATAATTCATCACAATAAAATTTCCTTGAATTTCTTCATCGTTGTTATCACAAAGCTTTTAAGTAACAAGATCCGTCAACAAAACTTTATTTATATAAAAGTCTCATTAACCCACTGTCTTAAACTTTTTTTCAAAAGATTATTTTAATTCTTGAAATTTGCACTTTATCATTTTTCTTTAATATACTTAAATTTTTATCTCTTTTTTTGTTCATAATATTAGATAATCTTTTGATGTAATTTTTTTTCCATCTAAATAAACATCATATGGTGAAAGATTGTCAGAAAGTAATCCACGATAAGGATTCTCGTTATATCTTTCCACAATTAAATGTAAGTATTTTCATAAGTAAATGTTTTTTCCGTTTCTTGTTTGAAACAAGTCAATAGTTTTCCAATCATCTGTTTTATTGTTTGTATAAATCTATCAGCATGAGTAGCTTTAATTTTATAATTATAAATATTATAATTTGTAAAATTATATTTTTTGACAATTCTTTTCGAATCCCTTGAAATTCAGTTCCCTCGTGTGATATTATTTCTTTAGGAAATTCATTTTCTTTCAATACAATATCTTCAAATTTTTCCATAACATTTTTACTAGATTTATTTTGCAATAACTGAACAAAACCATATCTTGAATAAAAATCAACTTTGCATAACAAATAACACAAATTATCATTATATCTTGCTAAATCATTTGTTTCAGCTAAATTAATAGTCCATAAATAATTTTTTTTCCTACATTTATATTTAAACGATTATATTTTTTGATACAAATTATGTATATTTTGTTTATTATCTTCTAAATGTTCACCTTTTAATAATCTTGCAGCTCTTTTTATAAAGTCATTGTTAATTAAATTATTAAATTATTAGTTTTCTTCTTCGTTCTCCTCCTCATCATCATTCACAAACGTTGGAGGATGATGAAAATCAAGCTTTGAAAAAAAAATATATCATTATATGTTCTTTCAATTTTATCATTTCCATATTTTTTATAAAATTCTATAAAATCATATTTCTTTCCAATTTTTTCCTCTAAAATTTCATTCATAAATTCATTATGATAAGCAAGCAATCATATGTTGGAATATCCAATTTATTAGAAAACTCTTTCAATACATAAATAGCTTTAATGTCATTACCATTTTCAATATCTTTTTGTCATTTTTTACTTGGTACAGTTTTTGGCATTTCTTTTTTACTTTTTCTACTTTAGCTTCCTTTCCTTTGATTTTTTCTTTTCTTCTTGACTTTTTAATAAATCACGACAAAATCCAACAAATTGTCGCAATTTTTGTGATATAGTTTTTAAATCGTCATCTTTTCTTAAATATATTTTGTAAATTTCATCCGTCCAATCAATCATTGCAATTTCATTTAGATCAGTGTGTTTGAAACAATCATCCTCATCATCATCATCATTAACATAAACAGTTCCACTTTCATCCACAACTTGGTATGCTATTTGTGTTTTCTAACTTAACTTATTATCTGAATCACGTTCAAAGATAACGCGTTTCTCAGTAGATGAAAACAAAACTTCAAATGAAATTTCCTTTTCATCTTTATTTGCAATCTTATTCAACACATTTACCAATCTTTCACATGTTTGCAAATTCATTTGCAACTCATCTTTACAGCACATTCCATCGTTGTATGGAGAATAAACGGATTTTGAAAAAAAATATAGATTACTAAAGCGATTAAAACTGCATACTTTATTTGAAATGATTGCTTTTCCATTAGAATAACTTTGTAAAACTGTTACCAAATCTCTAAAATTTTTTGTAAATGGTATACACTAGTATAAGGGTAATGGGTTAACAATTGACAATGTCTATATTTTTAGTTAATCCTTTAACCTGCAATGTGCTTTACATTTTCTGACAAATGCCACATGACTTTACTTATCATTGGGGTAGCTACGAAGCTTTATTAAACAATCCACAAATAAAATTGGCAAAGAACGAAAATGGGCTTAATTAATTGATTTAAAATTAGAGATTTTTGAGACTTTTGTGAGCCTCAAAACTTTTAAGTATTTTGGTCTGGTATCTGAATGTCATGCAAAATCACAAGTTGGCATAAATGCAATGAGCAAAGGCAATATATAGTGGAGACAATAGACGTGGTGTTGAAATAGCATGAGAAAAACAACAAAACGTAACCAAGAACATTTGGAAATTTTTTTACTTGTTTCCCCCGATAGTTATTTCTTAACATTCAAACTACACTTGTGCGTAATATAAGAATACAAATATTTTAGGTGCATACAATTATTGGTAACAACATGAACATGCTATACAAAAAAAAGTTTAACACACTACAGGAAATCCTGTTTAGCAAGGCATTCCAGAACAGACGTTTGAAAATCGAAAGGTATGTTTATTTGGGATGTAAACATTTTGGTTTTCAACCTTAAAGTTCCTAATTCTTTGTCCTGGTAACAGATTATGTTTAATCCAATAATGTTATTTTTCTTGGTTTTAATGAGTTTATAAGTTAGTTCTGAGCTTGTCTTGTCTAACCAATATCCCCAAATCTAATCTTCAGTAGACAATGATTCAATGCCTTCAGCTGCACCAGGATAATAGAAGAGACAATACGGTTCATCAGAGTCAGTATAAACCGGAAGAATGTATCCTTCGTGTGTTCGACTGCTTTTACAGTTGGCAATAAGAGTCGCAAAGGCATCAGGTTTGAAAAAATTTTTAAGTTTCCCAGTCAACAAATCGAGGTCTGACTTTGTCAAATTTATATCAGTTACCACCAAATCGCATTCTTCAATCAGCTTGTTACGTATCAAGCACATTGATACTTTGGCTTCTTCAAAAACAACTTTCTTCAACACAGATCGGTAACATTCTCTCTCTTGATATTTACGATTCTCTGTCAAAACATTTTCTACTTGCGGTGATTCGATTATTTTGAAATGAATATTCTGCACATTTTTCATAATGTTGGAAATCTGTTTAATACCATACTGACTGGGTTTTTAAATGTAATACCTTCTGGCAAACCAGTAACAGTAAATCCTCCTTTAAATAAGGTACTCGGCACGTTTTCCCACAAGCTTCACCTTCAAAGTAAATTGCAATGATGGGTAATACATAAATGTAGCTAGCAACAATCAATGACAATAACAAAAAGTCCCGCGCATATTTATGGGGGGAGAGATTTTAATACGTACAAAACTATGAGGACAGACACAATAAATGATATTTCCCAAATATGTAAACTGTAATGCACATTGTTCATTTTTTACGAAACAGCATTCTTTCCCATGATTTGATTTAATAAGTTTGGAAATGTTTCACAATGGTGTAAAACATTCATGCTGACTTAAAATAACTTGATTGTCAAAAAAGGAATTGTGTATAAAATGGACTAAAAAATATCAACCATGACACAAGCTCAGAAAATGGAAAATCATTTCAAATGCAATTTGCACTTACTGTAATTCTGGTTGAATAGTTTTATCACATCACACACCCGGTACTTTCTGACAACCTGTTTTGGAGAATCTATTTAATAAAAAAAAACATTGATAAAGAAATAAAGCCCGTGTAAAATGTATGGAAAGAAGGGAGAGGATTATTCATATATCCAGCTGAGCCCAAGTGATTACTTTTGAAAGCAATTTACTTTCAAAAGAAATCCGAAGGGCACAACTGAATAAACATTCTTGGAACAGCACTAATGCTTGAGAAATAATGCACTGGTATTCCAAGACCCACAAGTTTCTGAAAATAACTGTGTGGGTACAGCACTTACCCAAATACTCAACGAAATTGACACCAATTTTTTCATTTTTATTCAAAAGTTGATTCCTTTTCTGTTCCAAACTGTTGAAGACAAGAATCACCAGGCTCCAAGAATAAAACAACTGCTTCACAACCAAGACTTTCTAAGTAAGTAAGCTAGCAAAGAGAAATTTAATTGAATTTACACAGCATAAGTTTTCAGCAAATCAAATTTTTCTCTAAGTAAACAAAAGTATAAAATCAACACATCTACAATGTGTTTAATTAAACACTTATCATAATAGCTTTGGCCTTATTTTATGATACGTATACTACTATTTTGTGGGGAAATTAGAGCCCCTCGTACACCCTAATCTATCTAAAGCTATGGGGATTGCAAAATTTCTTACAAAATACTCCCCTTCACATCCATGACACGGTCTATCAATGCTAATATTTTCCACAGTAAAATTGCAAACGTTACAAAATGCTAACTTTGTGGATCTGTAACCCAGTAGACTTGGCTAAATTTCAGCATTTATTTGCTACTTCTAACAATTCATAACAACTTTTACAAATTTTTTTGTAGTAGACGTTTTCTTTAGGTAAATTGTCTTTCCTTTAGAATGGATTGAAATTTACAAACCATCACGTTATGTTTATAAAAATGTTCAACTAAATCTACGCACAAACAATTGAAGTAAAAATCATTCTCTTATATCATAATACTGTACATACTGTATGTACAGTGGGTAATAACAGCTGTACCTGTGACAAAAGCTGCTTTTTCCCTTTTTTTACTTAGTTTGTGCGCTGCTTAACTGTCAAGTCATGAATGTCTATGCTTTGAACAGCCTTTGCTCTTTCTGCCCAAATCACACGTTCCTCTACCCCTAACAAGTTCCAGTGGACTACAGCTAACTTCAACCTCTCAGAATTAGAGCTTAGCTGCTTGCATTCCTCTAAAATTACAAAATGCATACTTACAAAGGGCATTTAACAACAGAAAGAAACAAAGTACCCTTTTGGGTTTAAATGACGACTGCACAGGTTTTGTCTTAGCACTTTTGGTGGGATAAAGATGATTATTATTAGGCAGGCCATAAAGAACACACAGTTTATAGATCAGAACCTGAGTTCAGCATATGTGAGCAAAAAAGATTATATGCTGTAGTTCTACGCTTTGAAGGGCACAGTCTTAACTCCTCATCTTGATGAGAGCTGGCTTTCCTTTTTCTGGACTGCTTTTTATTCCCAATCCATTTCTAGAAAAATAACAATAAAAAAGCTAGCAAAGCAAGTAAATAACCTTGGTTAACCAACTACTCCAACTACACCACTACATGGTGTATGAACAAATAGAGTACTAACATGAAGCCTTGAAGTTATTTTAAGAATAGGATATGCTAACTTAGTCTAAACAACAAAAAATTATTACGTTAAAAAATATAAATGCTTCTTTGCAAACTAGACAATCAAAGAATTTCATTAGAAAATTCTGCAATAAGCATGAGCTTATTTCACCAGTAACAGAATTCATTAAGTATGTAACTAAGAACCACCATCTATATGAAACTTCTTTCTCAAGTTATTCGCAAATTAGGATAGCCAAAAAACTAAAAATGTGACTAATTGATTCTCAACTCGTGCATAAAAATCGTACGAGCTGACAAACCATAAAGTAATCTATTATCATGTCCTTACTTGTTCTTGTTGTAAAACTTTGCTTTAAGATTGTAATGACGTGTATCGAGGATTCCGCTCCTCAGCTGGTTCAGTAACACTCTTCGTTTTGAACCTTTTAGTTTACAAGCTAACAAGCTACACAAGTACATCACTGGTCTATTTTTACGCTATCTATTAGAGTTAATTATTTACATGTTATTTATACTATCTGTAATTACAGAAGTCGAGCTTTCCTTTACGTCATTAGCAGTTCTCACTCTTCCATTGCGTTTCAAGTTCTCACGCGTTGCAACAAAAAAGAAGAAGAAACTAAACAAATAAAGAACTTACAAAACATACTCAAAACAAAGAAATGTTAAAGTGAACCTAGCATAGTTACGACAATTTTATTGCTAAGCTAAAAAGAATGCAATATCACACACAACGTGCGCATAATTAGCGTGCTTAATTTAATCTAGAAGATTCATTTTTTATCAAGATGTAAACACAACAAAGCATGCACATGTAGTGCCAATAACTGCTTCCCTGGTAGAATATTATGTATCTCATGGACTGGAAACTATGCATAATTTGTCAAAAAGACACTGCAGATGGTCTACAATGTCCATCAAACTCAAAAAAAAAGGATGCAGGAGTTGGGTACTCGTCATTTGCGAAAAATCTGCAAGAATTTATTAAAATTGATATGTTACCGGTGAATTTTGACGTAAAGTGTCTCGATGGAGGTAATGGAATAGAAGAAACGCTGAAAGAACGCCATGCATCATGGCATAAATCATGTAGGAATCTTTTCAACAATACAAAATTGCAACGTGCCCTGAAAAGAAGTTTAAGTGCGGAGAAGACAGACGAAGAACAAACATGTGAAATCGAAAAAGGAGGTCCAGCTAAAGCCAGAAGAGCAAGCTTCCCTGCAGCTTGATGAGAGTGGCTGGACCGAAATTTTGACTAACGCAGGTATATCTAACAAAGGTGTTGTACAGTCATTCATCGCTTGCAATCATGTGGCAAGAACAAGACGCGCACATCAAGTTACAGCAGCCAGTCTTTGCTACCTACAACAAGATGCCTATAAGGAGTATGTCATGAAAGTTGACAATGGAGAAGCTAAAGAATTCCACATTTGGAAAGAAGATATGTCAAAGGATCATTCACAGTTTCTGTATTGGACCAGAGTTTTGGAAGTAGAATTACTCTGTTTACAACTAGTGCGATCATTTAGAGAAGCTAATTTCTCCTTATACTTCCAGTCAATTAAGCAACTTGTCCCGTGGATGTTTGCTTTGGACAATGTTGATTATGCAAGATGGCTTTCTATCCATATCCGTGATATGTCGGAGCTTCCATTCAAACATCCTGACGTCTTTAACCAGTTCTCCAAGGGCTCGTTTGTAGTGCATAAAATGACGAAATAGTTTTCAGCTAAAGCATTAGATCGTGCTCACGAGCAAGTTAATGCAGTGGTAAATGGAGAAGGTGGTGCTGTGGGACTAACCGAAAACCTTCCAGCTTTAAGGAGATGGATGATTGCAGGTCCATAAATTCCAAGAATAACTGGGGAATTCTAGACGAGTACACATGTAGACAGTCAGCTACACCATGAGCAAAGCCCATCCATTCAAAGATAATTTTATAAAGATATCTCAAATGTCGTCTGTAATTTTCAAGCGATGGGGAATCCTTTTGTAAAAGAGAGCAAAGACCTATTTGCCATCCACACAAATGACGTGATGAACAGTTCCGTTGTTGACACGATGAAGAATGTTGTAACCCTTGGAGAAGAACAATATCAAGCATTTGTTAAAGAAAGATTTGTTGAGAGAAGCAAGAGTATTACTGAAACGTTGAAAAAAGTTATCTGCCAACGTTTAAAACAGGAAGAAAAAGAGTTTTGTCAAAAGATAAAGTAAATATACAAACTCTGAAACTAGACTGTGCCTTTTTTTCAAAATTGTATATAGCCAGTAAAAATCGAAGTGGTGATCTCGATGATTTCTTTAAATATGAGAACCAACCATGGCCACCATCTCGCTCACAACCAGGAAGTTTGCGTGCTTGTAATAAAGCAGACTTGACAAAGTTTATCGAGCCCATTACCAAAATTCAGTCACCAACTCCCGATGTTATTATTTTAGACGGGGCTGTTGTTGTTCAAATAATTTCACCTGGAACTTGGGAAACGTTGGAAGAGTACGCACAGTTTGCTTTCATTCCTTATGTGTTAAAGCAATTTCAATCAGCTAAAAGAACTGATTTAGGGTGGGATGTATACAAAAAGGATTCGCTGAAAAAAAAGCACGGGAGAAGACAGGCTTTGGTCAAAGCCGCAAGGTTTCATCCACAGCACGTATCCCTACTGACTGCAAGGGCTTCCTGCGCGTAGATGCCAACAGAATGGATTTTTTCAATTTCTTAGCGCAGAAAGTTATTTCCCAGCAGATTCAAGAAGGAAGAGAAATTTACAGTACATTTGAAAAAAGGTCTTGTGCTTCCCTAAAAGAACCGAAGGATGAATGTTGGAACCTTGTAATCACGAAGAGGCTGACACACGATTGATGGTGCACGTGTTAGATGCAAGTGACTGCGGCCACCAGAGGATTGTTGTAAGAACAAATGATACTGACGTATTGATACTGGCCATTTCAATTGTCAAAAACGTCAAAGCAGAAGAATTATGGATTGTTTATGGCACAGAAAAGCACTTGCATTATATTCCCGCGCATACAATTGCATCGGCTATCGGACCTGAAAAGGCATCTGTTCTACCGTTGTTTCACGCTTTTACGGGGTGTGATACTGTATCCTTTTTTGGAGGTCGAGGAAAGAAAACTGCATGGGATGTATGGAATGTACTTCCAGAACTAACATTAGCGTAGCAAGACCTAAATTTGTTGCCAGAAAGGATTTATTGTTCGTCCTTGCAGGTAATTCAGAAACCGCCAAAGTCATGTATTATTTATCAAATAAGGTCTCTATTATGATTCATATAATGTTTTTCAGGTGATTGAGTGATATGTTGTCCTCTTATATGATGGTACAAGCAATCTCACCAGAGTCAATGAAGCTAGACAAGAGTTGTTTGCCAAAAAGTCCAGAACACTGGATAACATTCCACCAACCCAAGAAGCGTTGCTTCAGCACACCAAGCGTGCATTGTTGCAAGGTGGATTTTTCTGGGGGCACCGCTGCTTGAAAGAGCAGGTTATACCAACTCCATTCGGTTGGGGCTGGTAACGTGATGAAAATTCTTGGTTACCAAAGTGGACAAATCTCCCTCAATTTAAAGATGCCTGTTATGAACTTATTCATTGCGGATGCAAAAGTTCATGTTTTAGTCGTTGTAAATGCGTCAAAGCACATTTAGTTTGTACTTGTTTGTGTAATTGTGGGGGTGATTGTCAATATCACGAGGGTGTTAAAATTATTTTAATATTACTATTCTTGGTTAGGCGCTTTTTCAATATATTTAAGAAAGAGCAATAACACTAAACAAAACTGCTGAGTCAGCAATTTTAAAACACTTTTAACGTAGAATATTTCAGAATGTATTGCTCAAAAACAAAAGTTGTAATATAGTTTTTCCATCGTCTTTAGCTGTTGTATAAGAATATACAGGGAAATTGCAGATTTCTGTGAACCTTATTTTTTTTACTATCGACGACGTAATCAAACACGACATTCGCAGAACTCGTTTTAAATGTAAAATATGGGCTGGCCCTATATCAAATTTTTGTATTTCTAGGCATAGTAAGAATGTGAGAAAATTTCACACTTGTATCATTCAAGTGAAGAATTTTGTTATTAACAGCTGTACTAATATTATTGGATGGTTTTAGTCGTTGTGTTAATAGTTTATTGTTTTGGTTCTGTCTTTAGTTGTCTTTAGTGATCTGGTAAGTAGAATATCTAGGAAGGTAAGTTGTTTGTTCTGTTCTTTGTCCATGGTGAAGGCTATGTTCTGTGTGGTGTTGTTTATTGTGTGTAGAATGTGTTCTGTTTTGTCTTTTTTGACGATAGCAAAGATGTTTGTCTTTTTTGACGATAGCAAAGATGATTACAGTTTTGCATCCTTTGTCGGCTGGTAGTATGACTATGTCTTCGTCGTTTCGTAAGTTTCTGATAGCTTTTTGTTCTTCGTTGTTAAGTGTGACTGGTCTTTTGAGGCAGAGGTTTGTCGTTACTTTGTGGCGAATGTCTTCTTTGATTTCATCATTTAAGTTGGTGAATTTCAGTGATGATTCTAGATCGGCAACGAAGTCTAGTTTGTCAGCGTCTTTGATGTTGTAATTTAAGCCTTTGCTTAAAATTTTAGTCTGCTGTACGGTGAGTGGTTTGCTTGATATGTTCTTGACCCATGAATGCGTGTCGGTGTTAATTTCCTTAAATGATCTCGATTTTTGTAGTTTTCGTTGTAGTTCGTTGTGTCGTTTTGTTCGATACGCGTTTGTTGTTTCTTTGATAGTTTCGTCAATGGATTTGGCATCTGTTTGTGTGATGTGATTCGTGATAGTTTCTCGATGTTGGTTTAATTTACGTCTGTAGATTCGTAAGCGGTTGTGAGCGTCAGATATGAGGATGTTCAGCATACGTCGGCCGTTTGATTGTGCTATTTGTTGGGCATAATTCGTTTTTATTGGTGGTTGGTAGTTGATACTGTTCGGTAGGATTCGCTGTTGTTTGCAGTTGTGTAAGAAGTGTAGTTGCTCCAACGTCGATATTTCTTTGCGTGCGAATAATTCCCACTTTCTCGTTATTCTGAGAGTATCAATCCCATATGTCGATTTAATATATTTGAAAATTGGTAACCCAGGCATATTATGATAATGATGAGGATTCTCTGGATTTGTTCTAAATTTTTATTAAGCTTTCAACTCGGTGCTTCGAGCCTTCGTCAGAATGTAAGAATATATATTTACATAGATTTTGTAAGCGTCTGGAGCGTCGTATTGGTTGGTTAGTAAGTAAGTTGATATTATTGGATGGTTTTAGTCGTTGTGTTATTAGTTTGTTTTGCTTTTGTCTTTAGTTGTGAATAGATGATGGGGATGTCAATATGTCTGTTTATTGTGTTGTTGTCTTTGTTGTACCATGCCTCTTTGAAGTCTCGTGCGTGTTTTGTCTGTGGGCGTACAAGAAGTTTTGTTTTTGTCCAGTCAAATGTACGGTGGCCCGTATCTGCAATTCACAAATTAATTTGTCGATGCACAAACATTCTCTTAAATTCAAAAACAATGTATTTGATAGAAAAATAATGTTCTGAAGGCACAACAAATTTGCCACGATGCAAATCAAACTAAAAGTTATAAACAAATTGAATATTGCAATACAAAATAAAACTGACCAAATGCACAAAACCAGTTATCGCAATGCAAAATCAAAGTTCAATAACAAAGCCTACCGGTCATATCTTCAGGAGACTAGGAACAAGAAATTTTAACCGGGGGGTGACAATAAAAGGATTTTTGTTTATCGCCTTTTAATATAAAACTAAATACCAACTACCACAAACTAAAATGCAGGAAAACGAACAAGCTCCTAAAGGCGAAGACGATGTAATTAAGAACTATTTTACGCAAGGTTTTGCATATGAAAAAATCCTGCTTCTCTTAAGGCGATATCATGATATTGATATGTCTTTACGAACTTTACACACAAGACTTCGAGCGCTTGGTTTACGAAGAGAAAACATTGAGTTTGATTTGAACAGTGTTCGCCAGCGTATTCGGCAGGAACTTGATGGACCTGGAAATTCCAGTGGTTATCGTTCCATTACTCATACCTTGAAGCTAGAAGGGATGCAGGTTCCTCGCGAGACGGTCAGACTTTTGGTGAAAGAACTGGACCCAGAAGGGGTAAACTTAAGGAAGTCTGGCACTCTTCGTCGACGAATTTATCATTCTCCAGGGCCAAACTATGTTTGGCATGTGGATGGCTATGTTAAGCTCAAACCATACGGCTTTCCGGTGCATGGATGTATCGACAGATATAGTCGTAAGATACTGTGGTTGAAAGTATGCAGAACAAATAATGATCCTGCAGTAACAGGAAAGCATTTCTTAGACACTGTTACTAAGTATCAGGGTTGCCCAACTCTATTACGAACAGATAATGGCACTGAAAACGTTATCATGTCTGCAATGCAGGCATATTTAAGAAGTATGTGTGAAGATGAATTGGCTGGTGTTAAGGCACATAGATATGGCTCATCACCAGCAAATCAGCGCATTGAGTCCTGGTAGTCATTGTTAAGAAAGCACAGAAGTAACTGGTGGATGAATTTTTTTAAAGATCTTGTTGTGACTGGTGTCTTGGACACATCTTCTGAGATGGAAAAGGAATGCTTGTGGTACAGTTTCTCTGATCTTTTGCAAGAAGATTTCAACTCTGTTATGCGACACTGGAACTCTCACTACATACGAAAGTCAAGATTTGACACAGTTGAAGGATGGCCAGATGAACTATTTTTTCTGCCCGAGTGTACACAGGCATTTGATCACCTCAAGCCAGTTTCTGATGAACAACTTCAAGAAATGATTCAATATTGTAATGAATATGAAGAAGACAGTATTATTCAGGAATACTTCCAAACTATTGGAGAACAATTAGGATTATTGAAACCAGAAAATTGGAGGCAGGCATTAGCTAGATATCATAGCTTGTGTAAGTTTGCAGTTAAAAATACATAAAAATGCTCAAGGTTTATTCAGTCAACAAATTTTTCAATAACTGTAAAAAGCGTAATATAGACAACAAGCATGACAGTGCCCATAATGTTAACACAATTACTTGCTTAATCAATGTTGAATGTTTTACTAATCACATACCATAAAGTAATATTAAAGTAATATTTCAGTTGCACCAATTTTATTATAGTTTTGAAAAAATGGCTCCATTCATCAATGCAATCAAGAGATAATGCAAGAGCTTGCCCTTTTGTGTGTGCTCATTTACATAAATATTAAGCCTGTTAGAGCATGTCTGTGCACTTGGAATCCTTTTCTAGTCATCATGAACAAAAAAAATTGAAGGTTTTGGTTCAAAGCCAGTTGAAGGGACATTTGCAGCACCAGTTGTAAACATTAACATGTGGCTTGGTGTTACCGATGGAATATACTTTTTTTCCTCTTCAGTCAGCTCAATTTCTTCATCAGCCAATTCTTGCAATAATGTACCTCCTAATTAAAAAAAAGAAACAATTATTTCTTGACTAAAACCTTCAGTGTCATACAAAAACACATCATGGAGTCAACAAGTAATTAACTTATTAGATAATGGCAGTGGTTCATGTGTCCAAATAGATTAGGGAACACAGAATATATATATGTATATTACTGAAGCATGAGAATTATGGCAGTATTAAAATAAGGGAAAACATGTTTTAACCTTCTGCGGCCTTTAGAAATTAAATAAATTTTGCCATCACTATTTCCTCTGATTGCCTCCTTATATTTCCAATTGGTGCTAAATTTGGTTTTAAAATTTTAAGCAGCTTTTTCACATCCAGTTTATCATCTGGGTCATACATGAAAATGTGTTGTGCCATGCCTTTATGTGCTCTAAGTAGTTCCAACACCTACACAAAAATTTTTTACCACAAAGATATTGGTGACTTTTATCTTAGATGATAAACAACTCATTACTCAGCACTGACATTGTAATATTTCAACCGATCAAGCAGCTGATCAAGCATCGGCTTGCATTTGATCACAACAAAGTATTCTATGACTTCTTTCAAAAAAAGGTCTTTATTCTCTAGTTTAAGAGATGATGGTAGACCATCAATTTCAACACGCCAGTCTGAACATTCTGCAAAGGCATTGTTTGCATCTTGTTGGGTGTCTGCTTCTTGCAACTGAAAATACATAAAACAGGCATAAAAATTTTTCCCATAGCAAATTCTCTATTTAAATATTTAGGAAATGCTGGCTTAACAATTTTCCGTAAAACATGGTAAACATCAGGTAAAAAAGTTTGAAAACATTTCAGCAGTGTTGGGAAAATTAGCTTGAAAAGACAAAGATTTGCAAGAAAGAAGTCAAGATAAAAGACCACAAACATATAAAAAGTTTGCAGTACTGAAATGAATACTTAGAACTATGATATTTAAATATGATACAACTTACCTTTTTAAGAGAATTCCTTACAGTTATTTCAACCACTTCTTCCAACTTTGGTTCTATTTTTCCACCTTCAATATATTTGCAAACTGTACTTGAAAGAGCACGAGGCACTTCACCACCTTGAAGAATCATTGTGGCAAACATGCGTCCAACAATTTCAAAGTTTCTAATTTGAAAAGCCAAAACATTACATCTGATAACATTGCCAACCGACATACCTGTTATAAAAAAGAAAATAAATAGCATCTTTAGATGTCACATGATTTTCACATTGACCTACAATAGCCTTACCTAAAAAACATTTGCTGTCTTTGATGATTGATTTGATAAGTAGGTGAAAAAGCTCTCTCCGAGGACCACCATTATCAATCGCATCCTCTTCCTCTTCAGTTTGAATAGCAGCAAATGTGACATTCAGTGTGCCTTTTCGTTTCAAAAGCCTTTTCGCCTGAAATATGGTTCTGTTGTACCCCAAATATTCAGCCTACTGATTACAATTTGCCGAAGCTCTCCTGTAACTTCAGCCTTGGCATGTTCTATTATGTGGTGCATGAGAGTTTTGTGATCTAAGTTTTGTTTTTCTTCATTAGAATTTTCAACATGCTGACCACTGTCTGAACATTCATGCTGATATAAGCTTTTTCTTATGGCCTCCTTAACAGCTTTGTTCTCATCAAAACCCATTGGCCTGAATAAAAAGCACATTGATACATGTAAAATAAAAACTTTAGCTTAATCGATACAATACTACTTACATAAAATCTTCCACAGAAAATGACTGAATTACGTCATGGTCATCTTCAATTTGAACAGCACCTAGTTGGACATCTGAAGGCTGTAAGCCTTCATTATTTTCATCATATACCAAATATTCGTCCTCTACCTCGTATTCACTTTGAAAATATTCCGATATTGGAAGCTCACTGCCACTACTTTCCTTCAATGGACCCACTGGGCAAAGATACAAAGTAATTCGAGAATATGCTTTGCATAGATCTTCTTTATGTTTACACATCGTAAACGTTTCTGAACTGCCTGGAATAGTATTGGCCAATTTACCATCTGGATATACCAAAACATATCCACGATCACGAGAAAACTTACGGTCATAATCTTCCCATTTCTTCAAAGCAGCCTGCCGCACCTAATCATAATTCATTGCTTTTCCAACTTTCACTGGAAACGTCTTTCCAAAAACTCTTTTGGGCTCCTCTCTCTCGTACTCCATCAGCCCGATATTAATTAAAACGTCGTCCTTAACGTTTTTAGATAAACGGGATTTTTTTAATTTCGGCTCGAAGTGCGAACGTCTCTCGGTTTCCTTTACCTTCATGAATGTTGACAAACTTGGCAGAGAAGCAAACGAACCACCAGAAGGCGAAGTTGTAGAACTGGGACACGAAGAAGCCGAGTCATTGTTAACCGAAGTATTAACTTGCAAATTACGAATCATTGTATCACTAGTATTGTTCCTCTTTCTACCACAACTCGGACAGAATATAAAGGAAGCCTTCAAACTGTATCCACAACCAGCGCAAAACATTTCGTTCAACGACAGTTCACTTATTTTGTCTTATAACTATACTTCAAATGTGTTAATTACGAGCGAATTACCAGTGGCAAACACCATGTGGTAAACAGTGTCTCTTCTTACAATATTGCCCCCCGGTTAAAATTTCTTGTTCCTAGTCTCCTGTAGATATGACCAGTAGGCTTTGTTATTGAACTTTGATTTTGCATTGCGATAACAGGTTTTGTGCATTTGGTCAGTTTTATTTTGCATTGCAATATTCAATTTGTTTATAACTTTTAGTTTGATTTGCATCGTGGCAAATTTGTTGTGCATTCAGAACATTATTTTTGTATCAAATACATTGTTTTTGAATTTAAGAGAATGTTTGTGCATTGACAAATTAATTTGTGAATTGCAGATACGGGCCACCGTACAAATGTGTTGTTGGTATCGTAGGTATGTTCTGCTAGTAGTGATTAGGGTCGCGTCGTTTGATTGCATTCTTGTGTTCAGTGAGTCATGTTTCAATTTTCTTGGATGTTTGTCATATGTAGTGCTTGGGGCAATCTTTACATGGTATCAAGTAGACCGCGTTGGTTGTGTCAAATGTCGTTGTTCGGTCTTTATGTTTAGTGAAGTATGATTTGAGTTTGTGTTGGTTTATGTGCGATGTTTATTTTGAATGGTCGGAGTAGTCTTGATGTCATTTCTGATGTTCCGTTTATATGTGGTAATGTTACTATTTTTACTGGTTCATCTGTAACTTCGTTAGGTTTTTTAGTTTGTGGTTTGTTGTGTATTTTGTTTAATAATTTGTTGATAAAGTTTCGTGGGTAATTGTTGTTTATGAATGTAGAGTATAGGTAGTTGCGTTCATTCTTCCTGGCTTCTTCTTTATTGCAGTGTGTTTTAATCCAGTTAAAGAGAGTTCGTATGCAACTAATTTTGTGTTGTGTTGGGTGATTGCTATTAAAGTTGAGTATTTCGTCTGTGTGTGTATTTTTTCTGCGGACTAATTGTGTTTTTAATGTGCCGTCTTGTGATTTGGTAAGGGGAATATCTAGGAAAGTAAGGTGTTTGTTCTGTTCTTTGTCCATGGTGAAGGTTATGTTCTGTGTGGTATTGTTTATTGTGTAGAATGTGTTCTGTTTTGTCTTTTTTGACGATAGCAAAGACGTTGTCGACAAATCTTCTCCATAGTCTGATGTGTGTGTTGTTGATGACTGACTGCTTTTCAAGGTGTTGCATAACGGCTTCTGCAAGGAAGGTGGATAAAGGAGAACCCATTGGTGTTCCTAAAATTTGTCGTTAATACGAATTTTGGAAGGAGAATTCAGTGGAGAGGCAGAGTTTGAGCAGATTGATGATATCGTTGGAGAAAAATGTTGAAGAAAAAGGTTGAAGGCGTAAATCAGTCTGCTCCAATTGCCAACACTATCATGCAGCTTGTGACTGCATCGGAAGATTCGTCCAGGAGCACTGCTACAAGCGCTTTCTGGTACCGCGACAATGGGGATGGTTCACCTAACCCTAAAGGTTTTGTGAACCGAACCAACGCTTAGCTGCTTCCAGCTGCTGGTGTGCCTAATGTTACTGGTGCGACTGGTGCCCTCTTTCAGCCACACTTTAACTTAGATCTTAACGCAACAAAAAACCCTAACATTGGGTTTGCTGCTCGCCGCCATCTTTGCGCCGGTGCTAAAGCCGTCAACATGATGCTTCCCCTCCCCGACATCTTGGGCTTCTTCAAAGACATTGACTAGGCTTTCTTAGGTGTAAAGTTTACTTTGAACCTTACTCACGACACTGCTGAAAACACACTTCATAGAGCAAATGAAGTTGGTGATAGACAATTTAAGATAAATCATCTTTCACTTTGGGTTCCTTACATAAGGCCTTCAATCGAAGTGCAGACTATGATGGAAAGCAAGTCGGTCGCTGGATACACTCGTATGCTGTATTTTGAGCAAGGTTGTATCTACCAAAAACGATTTGGCCCTAATCAGATCATTGCATCGTGGCTTGTAACAACAAACAGTAGTGAAGAGCTACCAACTCACATCTTTGTGGCTATCCAAGACGCTGAACGCTTCAACAATCAGGAACAAACTACATATGTCTTTGACCATGCTAATTTAAGTCAAATTTATGTTGAGATCAATAACACTCAAAAGTATCCGGAAAAACCGCTTGATGTTAATTACACATTTGCTAATAGCAATTACAATAGAGTCTACATGATGTTTTAGGACGCTGCAATGAAGTACAGCGATCCATACACAGGCTTTCAAGTAAGATTAGGAGACATTGCAAGCCTATTTCCTTTTTACCATTTCCATGTAAGTGATCATGCCGATGTTTTTAGAAAAAAAGAGCAAACACTAGAATTCGTTGGACTTTGGAGCAAGCTTTTCGCAACGCGAGTAATGCTGGTGGCAGCAATAAGAATAACATGTTTTGTTTGGTGCTTAGTGAACGATTTATTGGACTTAATGTGATAATCGGTAGAATGGACATAATCGTTTAGACTGTTAGTCTGATGATTAGTCTGATGTGATGTGATATATTGATATTAAAGATTAACAAACAAAAAATTTTTTGGACTGTTTATTTACGCAAGTTGTTTTGCATGTGAACAAAAATGTCGGACATTGATAACGCAATATTTATTGAAGCTCTCAGACCCGCCATGGAGCGAATAATCATTCAGGAATTTAAAGGCACTGGTATTTATCTTCCTGGGTCAAGAAGTGTAGAAGGCGGTTGCTTTATTGGAAATCTTGTTGGAAAACTCATACCTACGGTCACTAAACTCATACCAAAAGTGTTACCGTCTCTAGGCCTAGCAGCTATATTAGGTGCTATCACCAGCAATACGCAAAAAGCAGTTGCTGGTAGTGGTGTAGTTAGGAAAGGTGGTGCAGCTGCTAAATGTGGTGGACGTAATAACTACACAGTTCACGTCGTTACACTTTCAGCGCCTCAGAAAAATCACCTGGCAAAGGCAGTCAGAGACGGAACCGGAGTGACTTTACGATTTACCAAAAAAGCACTTGACGGCCCTGACATGTTTATGCTTACTAAGAAGCAAATTAAGCGCATAATGGGTGCAAACCCACAGGATCTGGGTTGGATCTATAATTGCCTAAGAGTCCGATTACAGCCATGGTGCACGCAAAAAGCGTTTTATTCTTTGGTTCTTCACTTCAGGTATAGCTGCTCCCATCGTAGCGCCTGTCATAGGGAAAATCCTTGGATTTGGAACGTCGGGGAAAGGAGTACACCTCCCTGGGACGCGTTGACGCGGGTGAGGAAGTGGAAGCCACTATCAAAGAAAGATATCAATCGTATAGTAAATGATACTTTAAAAGCAGTAGCGAATTATTGGACTTAATGTGATAATCGGTAGAATGGACATAATCGTTTAGACTGTTAGTCTGATAATTAGTCTGATGTGATGTGATATGTTGATATTAAAGATTAAAAAACAAAATCCTTTTTTGACTGTTTGTATACGCAAATTATTTTGCATGTGCACAAAAATGTCGGACATTGATAACGCAATAATTGTTGAAGCTCTCACTGTCAATTTTGGGGGGTAAAAATTACCTTTAAAGTTGGGAGTTGAATGAGTGCCGCAGAATGCCTCGGTTTTGAAAGGTAACATTTTATAGAGGTATTAATTATTTAAGGGTAAAACTTACGGTAGTAATATTTAGTTAGGGGTAAATTCTATTAAGGGGTGAAATTTATCAAGGGTGATTTAGATGAACATGCAGTTGCCCCATAAATTTGGAGTACAACGAAATTACACAGAGTGATGCAGTTTTTAGGGCACAAATACATGTGGTAATGCTTCAATGGGGTTAAAACAAACTCTGAATCCTTAACAAGAATAATTTAATTAGATCAAAAAAACAATCTCTTTATTTCAATAGAAAAAGAATGAGCGTAGCTATCTCGAGAATGGAGTAAAGGGTGGCTAATATTAAACATGCGCGTTATTATCAATAAAAAAGATTAGATTTAAGGAAAAGTAACGAGGTTCAAAATGCAAATACAACTACTCAACCATTGACAGAGTATTGGCAAACATAAATACTCTACCATTGGCAGAACATTCATATTTGGGAGGGGGGGATTCATGTGTTCATATGTTATGATTCCTAAGACTGATTAATTTCATTGTAAAGTAGAACGGGCACAAATGAATAATAGTGCCCCCAATTTTTAATACTCCGCCGCCCTTGAGTACTCCCCTCAATAATTGAGCTAGCTACGCCAACATAAAACATGCGTACACCGTAACAGAAAAAATGGTCTAAATGTCCAGTGTAATGGTTTAAACGTCCACTTAATGCTTACTTTAAACTGGCAAGAGCTTTAATAAATTTTTTCATGCTAATTCTATTTGTAGCAGAGTGTTGCAACCCAACAAAAACGAAATCAATAAAAGAAGTACATCCTTATGATCTTGTGGATAATCTATCGAAAATACATAGTATGTTGCATAGAGCGTAAAAAGGACTGTGTCGAAAGAAAATGAAGTTGCGTCAATGAGTTGTCGTCCTTGGACGCACAATAGTAGCCGGTCAGGCTTCAGTA